CGATTATAGCCTCCGACCAAACAGCATTTTATCATGTTTCTCCTAGTTAGTCGCCCAATTTTAAAGGTAGCGTTCAGAAAGGTGCGGTATATCATATTTGTGTGATTAACTTTTTTGTATGTTATATTATTATTTTTCATATGGTTCATATAAGTACAGTTAATCCAAGACAAGGTTATTATGTTAATTTGTTTGATTAAAAAGTTATAGTATTTGGCAAGGGTATTTCAACTTCGTAACCTTGGGCTGTCTTTTCTTCATTTTTTTTTTATATATTTTGCCCCGTTTGCTTTTGTTATAGTTATTGCTGTTGTTACCTCAGTTTCCTAGTCCTTCGCTGCCGCTCGTCAATGCTCGCCAAAGTCGTCGTCATCGTCGGCGTCGTCGCTTTTTGCTTTCCTGCCTGTTTGTCTTGTGCCTGGTTCCTTCCTGGTTCCTGTTCGACGTGAACGTGCGTTGTTTCCTGCTCACACACAGATTCGCTTGTCCTGGCGCGTCCTGTGCCGTGTGCGTGTTTGCCTTTGGCCCAACTTGGGCTTTTCCATCTTTGCCCCTGGCTTTTTCTGGCTGCGATTTTTTCTTTTCATTATTGTTGTCTCTTTACATAGCCAACAATTAACGATTTAAAGCTGGGGAATTAAACACAACAACAACAGCAACAAGGACAACAACAAATAGCTGGCAGGTAAGTTGTGGACAGCTTTATACGATATCTTTTATGCCCACAACAGGTGTTCTATCTATTCTAACCGTTCTTCTTTTGTGCAAAAAAATCAAAGCTAGTCTTTTGATTGATTGCTTGAACCTTGGACACATGGCCTCACCTGTCACACATGACGTATGCGTAATGCGCGGCAGCTCAGCAACTAAAACAAATTCAATCAACTCCAGCTAGTTCAACATTTTGCCCCAATAAGTAGGCAACACACGCAGGCTGAATGGTGCATCAAAATGGATATCAGTAACTTTTCTAAACAGACCTTGGTTTGCCAATCAGCTAAAGTCAAGAAGCTGCCAAAGCGAAGAAACCTTTTGTTTTGCATGAATCTCCTAGATTCCTGTCCGCCTATCTGTTTCCTTGTTTCAAAGATATCCTCTTGAAACTTTGAATAGATCCGTCTTTCTGTTGCAGGCAGTACATATGTCGGTAACTGCCGGATCGGACACCTATATTATATTGCTTCATAGAAACAAGCGGTCCAAAAGCAGGCTTTTGTGTAGAAAACTTGTTTTCTTTATCAAAATATCTAACCCAAACTCGGTGTTAAGAAGTTCCAGCATAATTCCCATATATATTCATCATTTTCAATGGGTTCAGGGTATAAAAGGAATTCCTTAAAAAAATGTTGGGTTTTAATTAATTTAGAATCTCATCACCCTTTTTAATCTGCGATTTTTGAGTTGTAAATAAAATAAAACAAGAGGTTCTAGTCGGGAGCTCCCGACTAGAGAATACCCTGAACCCTCTTCTTCCAACATCAAATGCATATATATATTCTATTTTAGAAGCTATATGTCAAGTTTGGTGACTCTAACTCTTGCACAAAAAAACAGGATATCGATATCGATTTTTATCGATTGCTTGGAAACGGAATAAGTTATCGATTATCGGAAACAAACTCGTTCTGCGCAGGCACTAGGAGCACCTACATCTAAAAGTCTCTAGCTCTTATAGGTTCTGAGATCCTTGCGTTAATATATACGGACGGACGGACGGACAGACAGACGGACATGGCTAGATCGATTCGGCTATTGATGCTGATCAAGAGTATATATACTTTATGGGGTTGAGATGCTTCCTTCTGCCTGTTACATAGAGTTGAATTTTGCACAGTTTAATTATAATATTAGTTGAAATAAGTAATATGAAAATATATGAATATCAATTATTTTCAATTAGAATATTTTTTTTCAATTTTAGTCATGATTTGCACTTGCCCAAAATTGTGGCCACATTTTGGATAAGATATTGCCCGGATTTTAGGCATATAAACTTATTTAAAAAAATAGCTTGAAATATGCAAATTTAATTCGAAGCACATCTAATTCGAAGGCGTACTGCGTTTTAACAAATATGCTTCCATATTTCCCAGGCTGAAGCTTCAAAAGCTGTCCATGCCCTTCTTTTTCAACCACTTCAGTCGTATTGATTTAGAGTTAAAAAAGTTTTTCAGCTCTGCTCGGCTTAAATGCGTAGGTTCAGGCAACAATCTGGAGTTTTTTCTTTACTTCAATTTAAAGCCCAGTCGCACCGCATCCTGGCTAACTCAATAAATAATAAAATAAATTCAAATTTGTATGCTAACAAAATGATGTTATCCCGGCTTAACCACTTTCTTATTGCATGTTGATTTCTGTGGTATTTATGGAAGAGATTTCCGGGAAAAACGTCTGCCACGGCGTAAGATACAAATGCCAAGCATTTGCATTTGGCCACAAAACATCCGTCGAATGAAGCAAATCAAAGTAAATAAATAAATCAATCAGAGAGCGATAAAAAACAAAAAGAAGCAACAAGAATCAGCAAAATTGAACTTTCTGACCTTGGCCAATAATAAATAAAGATTAATGTTGGGAATTTTTTCAGTTTTAACTTAAGCTCATTTGGGGATTGTTTTCATTATAAATATGTGTTGTATATACTTATATTTAGGTCTCACGTGCGTGCTTAGTGCAGAGGATGCACATCCTTTTGCGGACACATTTTACCCTGAGTAAATGCTGCGAACTTTGACCTTAACACCAGCCACCACAACAATAACAATGCAACAGCAACAACAATGCTTAGCTAAGTTGTTAAACAGCTTGTGCAAGTCCCCTTGTTTCCTGTACCCTGTATCCTTTATCCTTTATATCCGACTCTTTGCCTTGTCGACAACCGAGCCCCCCTCCGCCTGCCCAGCATAATGCCACGCCCACACCGCAGTGCTACGTATTGTTTTTATGGCTTTTACAGCTACAATTTTTACGACAATGCAACTGCAGCTGTGTGTGTGTGCGTGTGTGCGAGTGTGTGTGTGTATGTCTCACTGATTGTATTAGTTATTTGCGGCTAACATTGACATTTATGTGTTTTTAAGCGCAACTTCAGCTTAAAGCCAACCACAATAATATTTCAACAATAGAAAATATTAATGCCACACGTCTGAATATTCATTTAAAATGCAGATTTCTGCTTGAATAAATAGTTAAAACGGGTTGTGAAGAAGTCGTCTGGAGTTGGGCACGTCTTAGCCACTAGCCCAACTTTTTTGCTGACCCAATTTTCCTTTAACAGGCAGCAGGAGGCTTTTCGGAAAGTATATATATTCTTAATCAGCCCCACAGATGTATATATTCATCATCAGGTTCAATCAGCTTAAGTCGCCGAAATTTTCTTCAAATAATCGATAAATTTCGTCTTCATGAAATCGATTAGGAGCTACGCAGAAAGTATATATATTCCTAATAATCTTCAATCAGATTCAATCGCCGGAAATATCTAGACTTTCCCATAACTCACTCAATGATCAAGTGCGTTAAATAATCGATAAGTTTATTCGTTTTCATGAAATCGATTGGAAGGTTTCTTCTTAAATATTCATATTCTTAATCGGCTTCAATCGCCGAAACTAAAAAAGCTAGGGAGTTTAAATTATGAGCGCAGCTCCTACTCCATCGACCGTAAAGACAAAGTTTTCTTGAAAAAATCGATAAGTTTCTCCGTTTCTATGAAATCGATTATGAGGCTTCTCCGAAAGTATATATGTTCTTCATTAGCTTCAATACCGGAACTATAAAAGCTAAAGATTTTTAATTTTAAACACAGCTCCTCTTCCTCCGCCCAGATAAAGTTTGCTTCAAGTAATCGATGTGTTTCTTCGTTTCCATTTCAATTAAAATCGATAAATGCATTGTTCTTTGAACAAACCTCAAAATTTTTGAAAATAAGTTAGGTTTAAAGACAAATCATTTTAATACCCTGAACCCATTAAAAATGGTTAAAAATGGTATTTGTGAAAAATGTAAATGTATGTAACAGGCAGAAGGAATAATCTCCGATAATCGATAACTTACTCCGTTTCTAGGCAATCGATAAAAATCGATATCTATCCTGTTTTGGGCAATTTTGGTAAATAATAAGAGCTAGAGTCACCAAACTTGACATATAGCTCCTAAAATAGAATATATATATATGCATTTGATGTTGGAAGAAGAGGGTTCAGGGTATCCCCTAGTCGGGAGCTCCCGACTAGAATCTCTTACTTGTTTTCATTTTCATTTTGGATACCTCCCACACCAAATTTAGGTAAACTTATTTGTCGGTATAATTGTTAAGGCTTCTGAAATGCCTAGTTAATGAAATTCCTGAAATAATCTTTTGGTTTTCGTTATCATCAATCATGTTTTAAGTAAATAGTTTTTGCACACAAACGTACACATTTTGTGCCCCTATATGGCATTTATTGCCATGGTTCATACTTTTTGCACATATAAATTTCCTGTCTGATGTCCGCCCGTCCGTACATTACGCTGTCACATGACTAGCAAACACTTTTCCCAAATGACAGACACATTTCTGTTCGCCATTCACCTGTTCTGTCAGCCAAATGCACATTGCACACGATAAAACTAAGCAGCTGACAATGACAGCCAACTGATAGAAATAATAACTATTGTCATTCGATGGCGTAAAGAATCTCAAAGTGTGTGCTACATAACTTTTCTTAGAAGGAACTTCAGCTCTGGTTAGATAGTTAAAAAGATAGTGTAAAAAAAGATGCATTTCTGTGAGCACGCATCAAACTAAGATAATTGCATGCCAGGCACGCGTATATAATAAAATCTTACACGAAGGAATTGGCAGCTATATTTTTATAGAAATAGACTTAATCAATTTTAAAATATATATATTCAAATTGGAATATTTCAATAAATTTCAAACTTAGAGCATATTTTATTCATGTGCTTTAATTATTTGTTGAAATAAAATAATTGTTTATGCATATTCTCAAGTAATTGTTATTCTAAAAAATCAGGATTCGAACACTTTGGCACTTTATAGAACCTTGGTTCGTTTCACTTTTTTTTCAACTTCCAATTTCACGATTTAGTTGCTTTTTTTATATCGATTTAAGTATAATTTATATTTGCAGACAGATAAATAGTGTTATTTTCGTAATAATTTAAATATATGTTTCGATTCAGCTTTAGATTCGATTACTTGTTGCGAAATTTCCTAAGCTTAAGTTTTGCTCAAAAAATCTGTTCCGATCGTGAGCCTTTACGCTTCAAAACCCGTTTAATTATTTATATAAAAAATAATCATAATTAGTATATCAAAATAATTTAAGGAAACATTTTATTCCTTGCTCCTTGTTAAAAAATGTTATTTTAGGGAAAATGTCCTACAATGCCCTAAAAATGTCCACAATAATTAAAAAGATAATTCAAATATAAACTCGTTAGAGCTGCCGAAGACTTCCGACAACTTTCTATTGGCGCTAACTAGAACGAACTTATCAATCTACCCCCAAGCGAAAAGGTAAAGAAAAATGCATTTCATGGCCACGTACCTAATCGCAATTGAATTCAGTGTCATCTCGAGCGCGTTCTACACGCTCCGTGCGTGGGTCGAATGACATCTCATCCGCCTGCTCGTCGCTGCTCAACTCGTCTGAGCTGTTCGAACGCTTTGCCACCCTGCCCGGAATATAGCCTTTATGCAGCAAATACGCCTCAAAGTTGGCAATTCGTGCACGACGCTCCTTTTCCAGAAGATGCAGTTTCTCATGATGCGGTTTCATGAATTTGTAGAAACCAAAGTCGAGTGGATATGTGACAGCCAGAGACTTGAGCAGGCTCACATAGACGGTGCGACCCTGCCTGTGATGGCTAAGCTGCTGGTAGGCGCAGTGTGTGTTCAATATAAACTGATAAATGGGCGTGGCGCTTGTGCACAGTGTCCAGAAGGTAATGCAACAGCCATTGTGCAACAGTGCCTCATAGGGCAAGTTATCTTCGGGCAGCACAATCTGCAGTTCGAGCGTGAAACGCGTTTGATAGTACAGCACCTCAGGACGCAGAACACGCGTCGGAATGTGTAGCTGTATATCATGAACTTTATCACTGACCGCAACCGATTTTCGTTTGTTCCTGCGCTGCACAGTCGCTGACGCAGTTGGCGGCAGCTCCGACTGCGGATCCATGATGTCACTGTGGAAGGCTTCGGGCTTGTTCCGAAGAACAAGAGCTGCCAGCGGCTTCTCCTGTGAGCACTTGTCTTTCAACTCCATGAGCGTGCAGTTTATTAGGCATTTGTATAAAGCTTCTACGCTTTCAGCCGGCTGCTGCAGTTCCTGTTCGGTCTTTTTTCTTTCCGTAAGCTGCTGCTGCTCCTCTTGTTGCTTTTTCTCACGCTCCAAACGAATTCTATTCTGCTTACCCAGCTGCATGGCCATTTTGGCAAGGATGCCGCAACTGCTGGCAAGCGGCGTGGCTGTCAGTAGCTTTGGCATTTCCCGTGGCTGAGCCACTTGAGGCTCTATCATGGCCTGGTTGCTGTCCTGTTCCAAGAATTGCAATTGTTTTGCTACGACCTGTTCGCATTTTTTGGCCAATTGCTTGCGCAAAAGCTGCTGGCACATGGTTAGGCGACGCACATGCATCTTTAGACTGGGCGCATAGCTCGTCAAGGCCAAATCCTGAACGAAGAGCGTGTGCGACAGCGCCAGCACAATGCGTGCCTGCAAGAAATTGGGCTGCGGCACAGCATTTAACCACGCCGCACATTGCTGGCCATCCTGTTCGTGCCAGCTGCGTTCGCCTGTGTGCGGCACCAGGCCCAGAATGCGCAGGTCCATGGCTAGCGGCGGCGCCTCACGCAGCTGCCCCGGGCATATGTATAACTGGCCGCTGGTGGTCTTAAACTGACGCGTGTCCACGTCGAGTGCCTGCACTTCGACATCCACATCCGTGCGCGAGAGATTCACATGAGCAATGTGCGCCACGCGAAGTATGCGCACACGCTCGTAACCATTGGAATTGCGGTAAATGCAGATTTCTTTGGCCTTCGGCGGCCAGTGACGCACACACTTCTGCGATTGTAGCAGCTGAAGCTGCAGGTCTAGCGTTGCGTCGCGCGGCAGCGTTCGCCAGCTGCCGCCAAGCGGCAAATGCTCCAACAGGCGCACACAGTAATGCGCCGGCGTATAGACGCGTATCAACTGGAGCTTGACATCGCCGCCAGCGGGCAGCGGCACGGCCAGCTGGCGATCCTGTGGCAGCAGCTGATGACGCTGCTCGCACTGGGCGCCCACACAGTTGCCCAGGCTGAGCAGCAGATCACACAATGCCGGCTCATTGCACTTGGCGCGCTCTAGCTGCGCGCGTATGTAACGCGCAAGCTGCACGATGCGCTCGTCCACATGCTGATGCATTTGCAGAAAGTCCACCAGACGCGGCAGCTGCTTGTGGTTGCTCTCGTCGAGCAGCACCAGCGAGAGTAGCGTATCTGAAGTCGAGTAGAGATGATGATGTGCTTCTTAATGTCAGAGCAACTCACCTGACTCCGATTGCTCGCCTGGCTGCGTGAGTGCCAATCTATTGCGCAAATTGTCCGCCAGCGCCAGATGACGCAGCTTGAACAGGCTCCAGTTAGCGCTCATGCTGTAGTGCAGCAGCGTGTGCGCATGTCGTATATCCAGCTCCGGGCAGTGATCGGTGCAGAGCAACAGCTCGCCGCGACTGTCCTGCATCCAGCGATGCACCTGTTCCCGCACAGCCAAGTCAGCCGTCTGGTAATAGGGCAAGCAACCATACCCATGCGCTTTCAGTGTCTGCACCAGCTCGCATATGTCCGCATCCGTGTGACAATTGATGACAGTGCGACGCAAATGCGGCGGACGCTCGTGCAGCACACGCAACAACTCCTCAGACTTGGCGGCCCGCCGCAACAGTGAGATGCGCATCCGTGTGCCCCCATAGACAGCCGCCTCCAGCACATCGCCAAACAGGACCATGGGGTGTGAATTAAACTCGCGCAGCATGTGCAGCAGCTTCGGTTCATACGATTGCGTGTTGATGACCAGCTGGGGGCGTTGTTGCCTGGTCAGCAGCAGCAGCTGTTGATGCGCCTCTTGCAGCTGATCTGCCGGCATCAAGTCCACATCGTCGTAGGCCACAAAGCGCAAAGAAGGCAACTTGACGCCATTCCTGCATAGCCATAAGAACTGCGCCGGCGTGGCCACCAGGCAGCCGACGCCGTTGAGCAGCCGCAGAAAGAGTTCCGGTGTGCGGGCCGAGGGCACCGTCAGCACCAACGTCAGCCACTCCTCGTTCTTGGCCTTGCGCAGCATTGCATTGCACAGGCTGCCAGTTTGCTGCACGCGATCCAAATCTGCGACCAGTACCAAGGCAATGGGGCCCTGCAGCTGCCAGCAGCGCTGCATGCGACAGCGCTGCTCCGTCAAGGTTGTGCACACCACCTGGCACAATGGCGGCACATAGCTCAGGGTGCGTCCACTGCGCGGTGCACTCACAATAACAGCGCCATGGCCCTCACCCTGGCCGAGGTGGGGCCAGGCGTAGCTTTGCAGTCGGAGCAGCTGCGTAAATCTCAGGCGGCGCATGGCAATCAGGATGTGTGGCAGAAAGGACACTTCGTTCAGGTGACGCGCCGGCTTTAGGCGCACATTCGAGTGGGCCACCGCGTACTCTGAGCAATTCGCCACTAGCAGCGGTCGACTGTGCCGCGCAAATGGAAAGCTCTCCTCTACCTCATAGTACAAACTATCCGAATCGCTGTTGTTGTTATTGTCCGTAGGACACTTCTCCGGCTTCGAAGTCATGGCCAAATCGCCAGGGTATTGAAATTCTACCCTATAAATTCCCAAATTTTCCAATTTGTAAACGGGCAAAATGGGAGCTTTATTAAGTTGGCTGCGCTTGAGCCTCCTATTGGGCAAACTATCGATGCAGTTATCGATATACTGCATGGGTATGTTGCGATCTTTTGGTATTTATTGACGCGTTCTTTTTGTCAAGGTAAAGGAGCACTCGAACCTGTTAGAGTATATTTCACACTGTTTGACTGTATAATTGATTGATTTTGACATTAAATCGCTTATATGCATTGATGCACATTCCTACTACAAGGTGTTCCATGTTTGCCGTTCGCCTAAAACTACAAGAGTGTGACCAGCGTTAAAAGCTTATCGTTATCGCTAACACTCTGAACGCTCTGTTATAATCTGCTGTACGATCAGACCGCTTAGAATTTGTCTGGCTACACGACAGCCATGACAAGGGCAATTCTGGCTGTTGGGCAAATGCTGCAGTGTTGGTGGACTCTGCAGGCGACGTTTCATTTCCATCAGCCGCTTTTTATCAGTACGTGACTTGCAGTAGACAACGCTGTAGATGATAATGCCTGACAGTGTTGCCAGATTAGTGAAATTAACAGTTGGTTATTTCGAAAATTGAAACCCACCTCCACCAACGATGAGTACGTGCAACAGCAGAGCCACAAAGGCCACCCTCATCAATGGATCCACAGGAATATAAATGCTATTTTTATCGTTAATGTCGCTAATAATTCTATAGCCACTCGAATTCGTTGTTGCATTATCGTCCTCCTCCACTGATTGTGACTCCGTTTGCCAATAATCGTCTGCAACAAACAAATTGAAATAAATTTAACTTCCAGGCAGCTGACCAAGTTTTTCAACTTGCCTGTAAAGTTGCTCGCTTCAAAGAGTTGGGGATAACCAATGAGCAGCAGCAGTAGCAACAGCAACTTTTCCACATTTTTACTTTGTGCCGCCTTCATATTTACTGTATTGTACTTTCTTTGGCTTATGCGAACAAACTAAAGCTACCAGCAGCAAACACTTTGGCATGAAGTCTTCGCTAAGCTTCATTTAAATGGGAAAACAGCTGTGGGGGAAGGTACGAACATTTAGATTGGTCGTTACAAGATATAAACATCAAGTGCAGATATGATAAGCACTTTGTGAAACGGTTTCGCAAGATTTTACGACAACAGACATTTCTGGGAGATAGTCCGTGCAGAGGTCTGAATTATTGTTTTATATAAAAATTTATATAAATAAATTAGCATGTACTTTTACAAAATCTTACATGCACACACGCAATTTTTTGATGATAGACAAATTAAAATAACATTTACATAAAAAACTACATACATATATACATACATATATACAAACATATATACATACATATATGCATACATATACACATACATTATTTACATATGTACATGCACATATATAAACATACGCATGTATATACATACATACATACACTCATACATAAAAGCATAGATACACACATATACATAGATACACACATTTACATATGCATACACACGAACCTACATACACGTTAACACATACATCAAGAAATACTTCCTTAAGGTTTAGAGATATTTTTCCACCCATTTCACACTTAAAAAATAATTTAGGTCTTTGTTTTAACCATGCTACTTTGAACCCCATTTGCACCCAACGGAGAAGATTTCCGGTAAATCGCCTTGCAAATAATATTTTACATAAATGTGTGAAAATTGGATTGAAGTTGATGGTATCAATAAAAAAAAATTGCAATCGATAGTTTTTTCGACCATTTGGTGAAATTATAACGTTTGATTCTAAAAATGAGATTGAATCCAACAACGCAACTAAAATAATTGCCAATTCTTCCCAAGCGCCCAATTTTCCACCCACAGAGTGGAGATTTTTTAGCCAGAACAAAGTGTAAAACGAACACATATATAGATGCTTATTTAAAAAAAGAATTTATGAAAGTAATTTCTTAAACGATTATACATAATTAAAGGCTTCAATTGTCGTCGATTTGCTTAGAGCTATTACAATATTTTATTTATAGTAAATTGTAAACTAAATTACTTGGCATTCGAGTCAACATTCCGTTGCATTCAGACAATCCTCCAGGCAGAGCACATTCCTCGCCTGGCAGCAGCCACGGCACAGGCAATCCACGGCACCGGGCGTATGCAGAAAGGTCACCTCCACGACACGGGCCGTTTCGGCGGGTAGTGCTGGCCACACAATACTCTGCGTGCGCGGAGCATAGGCGTCCAGGCTCGCAGCTTTGCGACGCGCTCTGCGGCAACAGCTGCAGCAAAGACATCCTTTTTTAAAAAATGGCAACCAGTCAGAATCGTCTCAGCCAATGCCGAGCACCAAAACTTACCCAGACAGCCGAGCAGCGTTAACGACAGCGTGCATAGACCGGTCAGAAAGAGTATTCTGTGACTGTAGTAGGCAGCATTTAGCGTGGGCATAGTCAGTGCAAGGTTCTGGCTCGGACTCCCACCTATATAGCGGGACTCGCACATCGCTTGACAGACTATGATTAATAATGCCCAAGTAATGGAAATGCATCGTGTGCGCTCGCCCAAATCCATTTCGTTAATGACTAAAACGACTTGGCAACTGCTGCAATTCGAATGCACTTCTTCTGGTTCTGGTTGGGGCTACTCGCAGAAATCGCCCGGCACCCTAAAGGCAAAAAAAAAAAAAGAAACAAAACAGTTGTGCGAGGCAAAGCGACGTCGCAGCCAGTCGACAGCCAGAAACAGTTAATGCCAACAGCTTTCATTGAGTTTAATAATAAAAGTAAATGCTTTAAGCAGAGAACAAGTGCAAAAGCCAGAAAGGCGTGCAGCCATACTAACCATGCAACACAGAGATGGGACAGCTCGAAGAAAAGTTTGTGGCCATTCATTTTCTAGATTTCTGGTCCAATGTCGACTTCGTTTTTGTTCGGGTGCGAGACCCGAAATCATAAAAAAGAGTGGCTCGTGTCAGACGCATCCCAATAAGAGAATTTTTTTTGAACCCATATGAACAAATTTTGGTCTGACCAACCTTTAGCTCAAAACATGACCAAAATTGCGCCAAGCACCAAAAACACTTGAATTTTGAACAAGTTAATCTAGTTTAAAAGTTTGACGATTTACCAAACTCTTTGGCCTGACTTACTGATTGACTGACTAACTAACTTACTGACTGACTGATTGATTTGTGATCTGCAAGAACTAAGAAGCTTAAATTTTTACTGTAGACGTGGTTTTTATGAAATTCCAACACATTTTTTGTTACAATCTGATCGGCTTCAAACTCATTTCCAAAGATCTTTGTTCAAATTCATTTAAGAGGTATTTCTCAGTTTTTGGAAAATCCATTCCTACTTGGTATAATGGGCAGTCAACAATTTGCCAAGGCTTTTTATGAATATTCATTTGAGATGAGTTTCACACTTTTCGCAATCCTAGGAATCGGTTGTCTTTAAAAGACCTCTCTGTCTTAAGGCTTCAGGCTGCCTGAAAATCATGACCACTCAAATAAGCAAAATTGAAAGACCAGCAAGAGCATTTCGAATCCAAATTGTTGCCGCGTGCCAAGTTCGATGTCATGAAATTCAAGCTGTACAAGGGCCAGGCCGTTTTTCCGGGCTTTGTTTGAATTGCCAATATTTCATGTATGTGTATTTTGGTTGCCATAAAACGTGCCAATGTTGGCAAAATGTTTCACAGACAATGGAGAATTGTTCATTGAAATTTATACAAGAGCTTGTATCGATGAATTGTGGCAGCCTTTCAGGCGCCAAGCCATATACAAGTGTTGATTTGCCTGACGTGGGCCTGAAGTTTTTGGCATGTGGATAATGTTATTATAAACGAACGTGTCTGAGCGCCGGGATAACTCAATTGTAAGAAGAGAGCACGCCAAAAAGGCTGTGCGAAGAAATCATTGCTACCTTTCATTTTATATGGGTGTTATACCTGCAGGCACATATATATTTTGTATTTCTGTTGTATCTGCAGCTGGTCATCATTCATGCTGTCATATTTAAAAACGGGCCAAGCCACGCGTCGCCGCCCGCTGTCGCTGGCTGTTAAATCAGAGCGCGCGCACTCGTCATAAACCAAATAAGCAGTTGAGAAATTACATTTAAATTGCAAATTTAAAGCAAAGAAAAAACATATGCACACACACTTACACACACTGCGCTCGTCTACCAAAATTTATGCGCAAGGTAAAAAAATAATAAAATAAAGAAAAATCAAAACAAAAAAAAAACAAAAGAACAGAAAAAAGCGTCAAAACAGCGCGCTCAAAAACTTTTGATAAAAACATTAATTCACTTAGTAAGTGTCCCGATTCTGGGCGCCACTTTTTCCTGGTCGTGTTGTTGTTGTTGTTGTTGTTATTTTCATATTTTCTTGCCTTAAGCTTTTGAAATTCAAATGAAATGCATTTTGTGTTCAAGGCAAGGCGTTTGCAAGTTTTCAGTCGGCGCCATTAAAAACTGGCGACAAATTGAGCGGATTAAATGGAAATGCAATTTGAGTTCCCTTTTCTTTTTTTGTGCAGGGGTGGGTGGAAATAATATGCAAATGTCAGCAACATTTACCAGCAAATCGATGCAGTCCTTTGACAAAAAAAAAACTATATATTTAGTGTAAGAATAGATTTGCCTTGACAACAATTTCCCATTTTATTTGTAATTAACAAAAAAAAATTGTCTTTAGAGTAAAATGTATTTTCATTTTATCTATAAATTCATCTATCGATACAACAACAACTTATTTATGTTAATTTCTTAGTCTTCTTTTTTATGTAAACAGTGTTACCATATGTATTATGCAAAACAAGGTGGCAGCACTGTTAACTGTGAAATAAAATTGTAAAAGACCCCTCAAATCAACTTGAACAAGGATCTTTGAAAACGAGTTTGCAGCTGATCGGATGGTAAACAAAAAAGTTTTATACAAACATTTTTCACGATTTTTCCACAGATGCGAGTGGAATTTCCCGAAACCCCTCTTGAAAATTTCAGCTCTTACGATTTGGGCTATGCATTATCAGTCAGTCAGTCAGGACAAAAAGTTATAAATATATATATCTGAAAGATTGATTTTACTTTAGAGTTCTATTATATAACAAAACCACAAAGGGGAATGCAAAGTATCTGCTCGTCCTGCCTTATCATCCAACCTAATATTTGCTATATTCAATTCAGAATCATCTGACTTTCACTTAAATTTCTTAAATGCTTAAGAGAGAGAGGCCTTATGCTTGTAGCTTCCGTTTAGTTCAATAGTACTTACAACTTGAGGTCTGTGAAAACGCGCGGTTGATTTGACTCGTTAAGTTGTTCGCTTAAAAAATATATTTTTGAGCATCTTTTTAGCATTCAATCAGAAAAAATGGCGCATTTCGAATTCATAAAAATCAAGTGAAATGCCACTTTACGCGCATTTTGATTGAGATTTAGCGCTGAATCTGCGATTACCCATAACGACAAGGACTAAACCCGGCGGACAAGGACATCGCTGGCGTCTTGCCACAGTCCTATGAATATTTTATGTAGTCGTGCAAGAAGAGAGAGACAAAGACAAAGACAGATAGAGTGAGAGAGAAAGACAAGCTGAAGTGAAAATCATTGGAGTTTGCCAAAGATTGAATACACTTGTAAGATATAGATTGCTATACGAACTGTCAGAAATAAGAAATATATATTAATAATATCCGAGCCAGTTGAATACTTGAATGTACAGCCAAGTAGCCAAAGCTATTTCCAGAATATCCAAGTCTACTCTTTGTTTTTAGCATATTCGAAGCTTTAAATTGTTGAGAATTACAACTACAAACGAAAACATGGCAAAATAAACAATTATATGTGCTTCTTTTCCCAAAGCATATGCAGCATGATACGAAGAACATTTTATAACCCCTATCGATTCTTATATTGTTATACCTTCTGGCTTTATGGCATATTGTCCGTGACAGTTGCAATACATTTGGCAAGGGTATCATAAATGACAAACGATGCGAAGCAAAAGCAAAACGAAAAAGTTACTGACTAACAAAAGAAAAAACAGCAAAACGCAGCTAGTCGTGAAATTTGTTTGTTGTGCTGGATCTCGGCAGCTCCAACCTTCTACCAAATGACCCCATAAACCCATTTACAAATTCCGGACAGGTGAATTTCAGGCGAATTCGTAACTGGAATTCGCATCGAACCTAATTTGCTTGCGTTGACGATGGTCTCTCTTCGGGGAATGCTGCGGACCTCAGCTCGGGTGTTGACAGTTTTTCAGTTTTATCATTTATTTATTTTTTTTTATTATTTTACAGCTGCAACAGGCCAATAAATAATAGAAGAAGAAGAGCTGAAAAAAATTGTCAGCAGTTTGCTTTACGTGATGATTTTTCAATGCTGGCTGTTGCTGCAGAATCAAAAAAAAATAGCCCCATTGCAAATGCACGAGTATGCACGACAGTCCAAAGGTCGAGGCTGTTGTCCTTATTTGTTCATTGTATGCAACCTTCGTAGGATCAAGTTCAAGCGTTTCAAGTCTACCCCGGCCTGCCCACTTTGCTGCGCCCATTTCTCACTGACTGATGACCACTTAAAAATTGCCGAGAATTGTGCAACAAAAAAAATGGCACGACTGAAGGCGACAAACGATTATAATCATGATGCTGATGATAATGATGATGATGATGATGATGATAATGTTGAGAATATTTCTGATGAAGTTCTCTTGTGCTACCATTTTAAATGATGGCACACTTTTGACTTGTGCATTAAAATGTCAGAAAGCATGCAAACGCCAAACTTTTACAAGTAGCACAAAGAAAACTGAAATGCAAATACGCAAACTATTAAATTTCATTGGTATATGTCTAAGTATGCATGCAAAGACTCTGCTACTATACAAGCAAGTATTAAGTGGAAAGAGACTGAATTAAATATGAATATATCAGATAACAATTGAATAGAATCAACTAAAAATAGAAAATATAATTACTCGATGCCTTATGAAATGAAATCCTTAGCTACTTTGTGCACAATTCCTTGAATTGAAAACTTTGTCTTTCACTTTGATGCACAGGAAAATCTTAGTTACGATGCCGATAATTGCCACCAAGCGATGCTAATTTATTTGAGTATTTTCCCACAAAAGTGAAAAATTCGGGGAAAATGTACCCAAAAAACAATTTTCCACTTCATTCAATTCAATTCAATTCAATTCCCGCAAAAACGTCAAATACGATGAAAACTCATGTCAAAAACAATTTAATTAAAAATCTGTTAAGATAAACATAAAAAAGCACACAATAAATAAAAATAATCTTATTTAATGCTTTATTGATCATATTCGAAAATCTCAAAAAAGCTAAAACACTGACAAACAGCTTATAATTCGCAAGTTGTTTAAGCACGAATTAACTATCGCAGCAGTTTTTTAGGCAGCTTTTCTTAACTTACAAATCGTATTCTCATTTAAAACAACTAAGAACATTAAAGTACAAGAAATATTAACCCATTTTTGTTCTTTTGCCACAGCAATAAATGGTATAATATTTGTTCCC